GATGTCCGGTCGTCGGCATCAGCAGCAGCAGTGCTTTCGGCACGTGGTGTGGCATTGAGCATTGTTCTCTAGTACACAACGAAACGCTGCCTGCAAGCAGCGAGTATCCATGCCATCAGCCATGAGTATCCATAGAAGGAAGAAGAAGCCACACCGCTATTGATCAGAATCAGTAGCTCTTCGTGAGTTTCTGTGGGCCATCTATGTCAAGCGCGTCATATTAAATAGTATAAACAGAGAGAACCCCGCTCAAATTCCTATTCCTACACAAAACACAAGCTCCTGCTGCAGTTAACAAATAAGATTTATTATATAAGACCACGTAGTCTTACGTCGCCATTGCGTACAACCCCATAGGGTTGTCCCTTGTAGTTTTTCTCTCAAATATTCTGTTGTGATCTCCAGCATGAAATATAAAATCTCTTCAAAATCCCTATGAAATTTTCTTCCAAATTATCTTAATATTTAGTTCTTCAAAGTATTATTTAAAATTCCCGGTATTTTCCCGGTTTTTACGATTTCTCGGATCACTGGTTACCCTGGGTAAGCGGATTTATCTGTTTTCATTTAATTTTAATTCTTGGTCACAGATTTGTATGAAGAAGTTTCGACTACAACTCCAAGAAAAATATATGAGTTGGGATCCAGGTCCATTTCTAACGATTATTATAAATAAGCACTGGGAGGTATTATAAAATATGTGTTATGATAATTTCAAGAAAATTTCGAGAGTATTTAAATCTTAGAAAATTATAAAGCTAATTTGAAATAACAGCACAAATTTTGCTTTGGAATCTATATTGCAAAAAGGGCAATTTGAATCTGCAACCTATTGTAAAAACAAGTGTTGATTTCTTATCAACACGACCGCTAACACGAACTCAGTGATTTTTAATCAGTTAAATGCATTTTTATTTTAAAACCACAGGTAATTTAGCACTGTGGTGTTATGAAATTTATTATGCAACATACTAAAAGTGGGGTTACAAATGGTGAGTCGACAAACTGGAAGGAGTGTTGTCCCAACAGCTCTGGTCCTCACAAGTTCCTACCTCACGCTTCCACGGGTCAGCCGATGACAAAGACCGCCAGCAAAAGATGCTGGTAGCGTAGCCTGGGCAATGTCACCACGATAAAAACATGGATCCGGATCGTGGTGATAGCAAAGTGAGGAGGTGCGACCCTCGAGCGTCTGTTCACCATGGAGGTGCGGCTCAAACAGCGTCTGTCTCGGAGCGAGCGGCTGAATAAGAAATGCTGTATCACGTCAGCTACACCTAAGGTGGCAGCCCCACCAACATGATGTAGGTATCGCGACCCCGGTAAGGTAGCATACTGAAACCCCCAACATTACTCAGAAAAACGAAGAAAGAGAAAACAACGAACGGAATTTTCGGTAACCGACCCGGCAATGAAATAAGGACAATGAATGGAAACTCGGTACTTGCTATTCAGGAAGTACGGTGGCCTAGATCCGGAGAACGTGAATTCCGGGCGGTGGATCCCATCGCCAACACTTCCTTCAAGTATCATATCTATCACAGCGGTGGCGATAGGGCAGAACATGGAGTAGGGTTCATAGTGATCGGGAAGCAGATGAAGCGTGTTATGCGGTGGAGACCGGTAAGCGACCGCATCTGTGTATTAAGGATTCGGGGCAAATTCTTCAACTACAGCCTGATCAACATCTATGCGCCAACCAACGATAAATCCGATGGCGTGAAGGACGCGTTTTATGACAGTCTCAATAAAACTTATGATGAGTGCCCAAAACACGACGTGAAGATTGTAATCGGAGATGCAAATGCGCAGGTCGGGAGGGAAGATTTCTTACGTCCAATCATTGGTACAGAGAGCCTACATACAGTAACCAATGATAACGGCCTGAAACTGATAAACTTCGCCGCTGCTAGAGGTATGGCCATCACTAGCACCTACTTTGCACGCAAGAATATCCGAAAGCACATCTGGAGACACCCAAATGGCGAAACTTGCACCCAGATCGATCACATGTTGGTGGATGGCCGGCACTTCTCAGATGTCATTGATGTAAGGACTTTTAGGGGGCCTAACATTGACTCAGATCATTATCTTGTTGTCTGCAAAATTCGGGCGCGTCTATCGACCGTTACGAATTCAACGAACCGGAGATCGATGCGTTTCAATATCCATCGCTTGTCAGAAGGTGTTGCTGCAGAGTACTGCCAGAAGCTTGATGAGCGGATTAGCGAAATCAACGTGAACGAGGACCTCAACAATCTGTGGAACACAATCCACGGAGCGGTGAACACAACAGCACAAGAAGTGATAGGTACAGCTCAAAGACGACCACGTAATGGCTGGTTTGATGAGGAGTGCCAGAGGTTGACGGATGAGAAGAACGTTGCCAGAAGCCGGATGTTAGTGTCTGGTACCCGGCTGAACAGAGAGCGGTACAAGGTAGCAAGGGCAGCTGAGAAACGAACCCACCGCAGAAAGAAAAGGCAATACGAAGAACGCGTGATTGCTGAGGCGCAAGAAAGTATGGAACAGAACGATATGCGAAGGTTCTACGCGACTGTCAATGGTGTGCGGAGTAAAACAGCGCCATCTCCCGCCATGTGCAATGACCTTGAGGGGAATTTGCTGACAGATAAAACAATGGTGGCTGCCAGGTGGAAAGAACATTTTGAGACATTGTTGAATGGAGATAGTGAGGGAGTATCGACGAACAGAGTAAACATCGCAGACGACGATCAAGCTGTGGAGCCTCCAACGCTAGACGAGGTTAAAAAGGCAATACGTGAGCTGAAAAACAATAAGGCTGCTGGGAAGGACGAGCTCCCGGCCGAACTTTTCAAACACGGAAGTGAGCAGCTGCATCAAGCAATCCACCGTATTCTAACGAAGATATGGGAGGACGAAGAACTGCCTGCTAGCTGGTTGGATGGCCTCATTTGCCCATTATTCAAAAAAGGGCACAGACTCGAGTGCGCCAATTATCGAGGAATAACTCTTCTGAATTCGTCGTACAAAATACTGTCACGCGTTCTGTTTAACAGATTGAGACCGCTTGAGGAGTCCTTCGTCGGTGAATACCAGGCTGGTTTTCGTGAGGGCCGATCAACGACGGATCAAATGTTTACCCTGCGTCAAATCCTTGATAAATTCCGGGAGTACAACTTGCAGACTCACCATCTGTTTATTGATTTCAAAGCAGCATACGATTCAGTGAAGAGAAATGAGCTTTGGCAGATTATGCTAGAACATGGTTTTCCGGCGAAACTAATTAGACTGATTCGCGCAACGCTAGATGGATCGAAATCAAGTGTAAGGGTTGCAGATGAGATTTCGACCTCGTTCGTGACCTTAGATGGATTGAAGCAGGGTGATGCACTTTCAAACTTACTGTTCAACATTGCTCTTGAAGGAGCGATTAGGAGAGCTGGTGTGCAGAGGAACGGTACCATCATCACACGATCGTACATGCTCCTTGCCTTTGCGGACGACATCGATATCATCGGAATTGACCGTAGAGCAGTGGAAGAGGCGTTTGTGCCTTTTAAGAGGGAGACGGCGAGAATTGGGCTCACGATAAGTTCTACCAAAACGAAGTACATGGTAGCCGGTAGACAGCGTGGGAGCAATAGTGGTGTTGGTAGTGTAGTGTTGTTAGATGGTGAACAATTTGAGGTAGTGGAAGAATTTGTGTATCTTGGAACACTAGTGACATGCGATAATGATGTTACCCGCGAGGTGAAGAGACGTATTGCAGCTGCAAACAGGGCCTTTTACGGATTACGTAGCCAGCTGAAGTCCCGTAGCGTGCAAACGAAAACGAAATTCGCTCTGTATAAGATGCTGATACTTCCGGTAGCCCTCTACGGCCACGAATCGTGGACGTTAAAAGAGTCTGACCGGAGAGCATTTTGTGTCTTCGAGCGTAAGGTGCTGCGAACAATACTCGGCGGTAAACAGGAGAATGGCATCTGGCGGCGTCGCATGAATCACGAGTTGTACCAAGTGTATAACGGTACGGATATAGTGAAGCTTATAAAACACGGCAGACTACGGTGGGCTGGGCATGTAGTGCGGATGCCGGAAGAACGACAAGCAAATATTATATTCAGCAGAGAACCCGGTAGAGGTCGTCGACTCCGGGGTAGACCTCGGACACGTTGGCTATTTGCAGTTGAGGAGGACATCAGGTCGCTAAACGTTCATGGCGACTGGAAGCGATTGGCTCAGGACCGAGTCCAATGGAGAAGAGTACTTAGTTCGGCGTTGAATCAACCTGGCGATTCGTAGCCCATCAAGTATCAAGTAAGTACTAAAAGTGACTCCCTCACTGAGCTAGTCCCAGCGGCTGTGAAGCAAATAGAACTCCTCCAATCACCATTAGGATGCGCCCCAGGTGGCATTCGCTAAGCGTCTCATGGATTAGCAATATTGAAACTACGATAGTCGCACCACCTGCCAAAGCCGCAAGGTCATGGATGAAGATGGATTTTTTTCCCAGCTCAAAATGATAAAAATTCCTTTCCGAGGGGGCATCTTCTGCCAATTTCAATTTCCTACTCTCAACGATCCGAGACAATCAATTTCCCATCATACAAATTGCACTCATATATCAATCCATTCGAGAAAGAGCCAACCATCTGAGCAGCGGAGGAAGTAAAGCGCGTTAGTTCCGCAGCATTTTTCCACACAAACACAGCCCTACCTTTCCCGGGCAGAAGGCAGCCATTCCGAAAGAAGAGTGCGCCGTAGATTCCTTGAGAGCCGGGAAAAATTAGCAGAATTTCCTTTTGCACTAAGGGGCCCAGCTGAGCTGAGCTTGAGCGTGCGAAAGTTACTTTTTCTACGCTCTCCGACGGCGACGAAGACGACGCTGCACCACGATGCCCTTGCTTCGGTTGGTCTCATGGTTGCCTTCACTACAGAACTGCAAAACTTCGACGTTCCAATGCGATGCAATATGCCATGTGATGGAGGGCACCAGGAGAGGGCCTTATTGTGTTTTAATGACCTGCGCCGAGTTGAAGCTGTTTTTGTCGTTGTTGTTGTTGTTGTTGTTGTTGGTGCCTGTAGGTGAAGATACTTGTTTGGTTCGACTTGGCTGCCGGGAATGAGGAAAAGTTGCTGTGATAGTAAATGATTAGTTTTAAAATAGTTTGCTGTCTCCACCATAAAGTTGTTTTGATTGACTTCCAGGACTGAGGTTGACCATACGATGCTGTATTTGAAATTGTGTTTGAGTAAATTTTCAGATTCACACTCACCAAGATTAAACTCTTTGAGGATTGTCGCACCTTATCGTTGATTATTGCTCCAAGCCCCACGCTCAAATTCAATGTTCACCTGGTGAACTTTACACGCAAAATTATTCAAATTATTCGTTCAAGATTTTGTGGTAGCTTCAACACAATTTGCTATCTTTCAAATGGAACAAATCGATCTCATTCTCGGAACCGTTTCCTCCGAGCTTAGCATCGCCATATGGCTTCATAGCAAATGAAAGGCTTGAATAAATAGGTGAAATCTCAAATCGGAAGCCCTTCGAGCTAGATAAATGTAAAATAACCGTTTGCTAAATTGAATCTAATCTAATAACTAACCGTTGTTCTTGTCGTGTCTATACATGAAAACAGATAATCAAACCTTTGTTTTACCGCTCCATTTTCCGCATCGATTCCCTCCGAAATAATCTAGCTCACTGCTCCCTACGGAAAGGCAGAACAACGCATCTAATACCCTTGTTCAACATACACACCTTTTCTAATCGAATAATTTTACACTCCGTCTACCGCCGGGCGGGGCCTGGAATCGATCTCAGCGTACCGGTATATATCCGAATTTTTATCCACCTTTGATGAGGTTTCCCCTCCGCAGCACACTAACTTCCACACTTTTCTTTACCTATCGATGACGACGATGACGATGATTGTTATTTCACGTGCGTTTCTTCTTATCTTCTGCCAGCACACACAAACACAAGACGCGAAATTTCAGCTCGGCTGCCGGCTAGAAAGTGAACTCTTCACTAACTGACGTACGGATGAATTTATTATCATGCAAATTCACTTATTACTCTCTTCCACACTCTTTTCAGCGCTTTTGCAACCGAAGCCAAATTGACCAACGCTCAGTCCGGTACATACGAATTTATGATTATTAATTGGCGAACCCTCGCACACCCACTTCTTGAACTGCTGCCACTGTTGTAGACACACTTTTGCTTTCCTTCGAAGCTGCAAATTTCTCGCAGGTGCGTTCGAGCGCCATTCGCCAACACTCGCTCAGCTGATGATGAATCGCAATTGGTTTTCGCCACTTGAGCGGCTCGTTTATCACTTATCACCTCACAAGATGCGGTTAGCTCCGGACGTGGAAAGAGGGAGAGAGGAAAACAATCACCAAATCACTACTGCTTCCTTCCCAAATTGAGGAGTTTCGATTTCGCGGCTACACGGGTTTCGCTGAAATATTTGGAATAAAACATGAGGAACGGAGTGCATCACTTCACTGTCACTGTGTGTGGTTTGGTGGTTTGGTGAGTGTTTTTTTTTTGATGAAAAAATTTCGATTTTTACTTGAATTGTTTTCACATGATCACTTACTTTCCGACGATTTTCACTACCTATTTTTACCATTGATCAACCCAACTGGGAAATGTAAGATTCTAATAGACTTAATGTCATTAATTAATAATTACAGATTTGAATGAAAATTATGCAGAATTTGCAATTTTTCGCCACATGAAAATCATCTTGTGAACGTTTTATACAAAAATATACATTCTACGAAAACTTGCTTGAGCGCCGCAGATCATTTCAAGAATTGCCATTACATTTGTTGTATGAAACATATGCAGAGGATTTAATAAATCCAACCTTACAGCCAAAACAAAAAATTGGTTTATTTTCCCCAACAAGAGATATTAACATTTGAAAAGGGCATATTTTTAGTAGAAAAACGTCAATAACTCTTGATTGGCGAAAGATATCGACAAGTTCTGCGGAGCAAAAATTTGCGCCTTCTAAAGATCTAAAAGTTATTTGCAGACCCATTTACTGAGAAAATAGAAATAAGAAAACTAGAGCAAAACAACTGCTTTTTTCGAGACACCTTAACTCAATTCAAGAAAATAGCTCTAAATCGTATAAGAGATACGAAAAAGTTCTTTTTTACAAAGTTGCTTGAAATTAGCTCAGCTATAACTTTGTCCAAAAATGTATACCTTAGTTTCTTCAAACAAAAAAGAAAGATTTTTGATTATAATGACAATAAGAACCACCCTAAAATTTATTATCATAAAAATGAGAGCGTAACTATAAGGAACAACTTTGTTGAAGAGACTTTTAATGTAAAGTTTAAATTTCAGGCTCAAAACATTCTCTTCCATATCCTACCCAGACAACTAAAACCGCATTTTGGACTACTGTGCAATGGTAACATTTTTCATTTGAATTTGTTTTTTTTTTTCTCCAAAGTAACTTTAGAAAAAGGCCTGTTCAAAAATGGAATATACATTTTCAAAAACTCAAAACATGAAAATGATTGATCTGAACAAAAATCACATCTGCGAAAAAGTTTTAAGCACTTGAATGATCCTTGAGCAAAATATACACTGAAAGAAAAAACTCACTAAATTCATAGTAAAAAAAACAAAAAACGTTGATTTTCTCACAAAAACCCTCTTTTATGTCTTTTTTTTTGTAAAGATAGCTGAAGTAATGCCCTATAATTTTTTGCAGTGTGTAAACTGGTAACTTGATTATAAAAACAACAATTTTACAATTTTTATTAATTTTAAAAATATAACTAAATTGCAAATAATAGTTTATTTAGGTTTTACGCATAACTTTGATAAATTTCTAATTTCCATTCTCAAGTTAATGCAAATTTAAAATATAAATTATGAATTTTCAACATTTTAGACTAATTTAAAATGTTAGTCGTGATTTCCAACAACAAAATGTGCATTCAAAGTGTTTTTATCAGAGGCGAACCAGCCTTTAGGCTGAGTGTGATAATTTATTAGCTAGAGAATGATCCTTAGAAGACGGTAGGTGGATAGTTCCGTTAGAGTACGGCAGTATGAAAATTGAATAGAAGTTGAAAATGAGCGAAGGGCCATTAATGCGACAGTTTTTAAAGTCAGACGCACATGTTCAAAAAATGTTCAAACTTACTCCTACGTTGTGTCTCACTTTTCTAATTATGGCCACAGCACGGTCCAGTGTGCGCAAAGGGAAGAAAGTGCATACGATGCACTTCTGAATAGCAGAGATGATACACACACTTGCAGTTTTTGGATTGCACAAAATTGAGAACAAGAGTTCTTCCACACCTTTTATTTCACCAGAGAAATCTTTAATTTAATTTAGTTTAGGTTTAGTCACTTCGAGCTACTGATAATTACTTCTATTCAATTTTCATACTGCCGTACTATAATGGAACTATCCACCTACCCGCTTCTAAAGATCATTCTCTAGCTAATAAATTATCACACTAAAGCTTCATTTCCAACTCCAACCAACTCTTACAAAATGTGTTTTCCATTATTGTATATTAATCAAAAAACAATTCATTCTAAGATATGGTGGCTGTCAGACTTGTCTGTTTCTAGATAAGCGCAGCGGAACAGAAACATAACGGTTCCATGTGGTTAGGATACAAGCAAAGATAAAACTTATATGCGATTTTGGGTAACAGCGCCGTAATGAGGAGTCAGTTACTAAGATTTTTTTTTAATTCGGTCATTTAGAAAACAATCGGTTAATAAAGCTGCTTGAAGTCCTCAACTATTTTTTTTTTGTAATTATTTAGAATAGGAAATAGGACTTACACAACATAAGGTAACATATATATTTTACACTGGAAAGGCACTTTCTCTTAGAGTGTTGTTTACTTGTCAAATGAGCTCTCTGAAAACTACTAATCTATTTCCTCACAAGTTTTTTGGATTTTTTTTTTCAAAAAGTCCTGTAGAAATGCACACAATGTATCAAATGGTTCTTCAAATGGTTTTCTTCCAAATAGTTGTGGACAAATTTCGTAGAGTTGTTATTCCTGTAGATTTGATCCAAAAGTAATGTGGAGTCATATGGAATCCTTTGGAGAAGCCCCGGAAATCCTTTGCTCCAAATTAAGCAGTTCAAAGCCGAATGACGAATCAGTTCTCCGATTTGCATGAAACTTTGCATAATTGTTTGTTATGGTCAATCATTCACATTTGAGCTAAAATTTGGCAATTTTGAATTTCGCAAATAATAGCTTCTAAATGGTGTTCTCGATATGTTTCAACAAATCATTACTCGAAAGCGTCATTTCCAAGCGAGATGGCATCTGAGACAAAGTTCAAGTAATTTTGCGTAAAAAATAATATAAAAGGGGTTCAGTTCTTTTCATTCAAAACTGAAATTCTGTCAATGCAAATGTGTTCAGTGTGTTCCGGTAGGCATGTAGTATGCCATCAAGTTCCCGGCAAATTGACAGATAACCTTAGTTTTACGTACCCACTTGTAAATAGTAGATGTTGTCACACAACGTAAACAAAGAGATTGTGCTTCACCGCCGCAACGGTATTTCTTTATGGGGAACTCACTTTCTGTTTCACCGTGTGTGGATGTCAAACAACAGGCAAGAATGCCATATGAAAAGAGCGAATTTATGATTTTTGTGGTAAAATGAAATAAATCAATACAAATTTAACCGTTTGATTGAGTTTCACCATCTCATATTATCGAATGGCTATAAAAAAAACTACAAGGCACAGCCCTATAGGGTTGTACGCAATGGTGACGTAGAACTACGTGGTCTTATGTAATAAATCTTATTTGTTAACTGCAGCAGGAGCTTGTGTTTGGTGTAGGAATAGGAATTTGAGCAGGGTTCTCTCTGTTTATACTCTTTAGTATGACGCGCTTGACAAAGATGGCCCACAGCGACTCACGAAGAGCTGCTGATTCCGATCAATAGCGGTGTGGCTTCTTCTTCCTTCTATGGATACTCATGTGGGCTGCAGCTCGCTGCTTGCAGGCAGCGTTTCGTTGTGTACTAGAGAACAATATTCAACGCCACGTGCCGAAAGCACTGCTGCTGCCGCTGATGCCGACAACCGGACAACACCCCACACGATAATTGGAACTGAATTCGATCAGCGGTTGACGTCAGGCTCGATCGCTAGCAGCTTGCAGGGAGCCTTTCGTTGTGTACCGGAGAACACCAATACTCACCACGCGGTGATTGAATAAACACCGTTTGGTGAGACCGGATGGAATTCAACTTTGAAATCTGTGTTAGGGAAATCGCTTTTCACAGGCGAGCTGCGATAATTTAAATTATAATAGCAACAGTTGCATATTCGTTAATTTTTCAATAGTGACATTAAAAATGATAAAGTCTTAAATTTAACAGATGCGTGGGAATATTTCTAATCGATTGGTGATAAAATTATTGAAATTGCTCCAGGGGCAGCTATTAACGTTCAAAATCTTTCATAATTTTGTGACATGTTCCATTTTTGGTTTTCACAAAGTGTACCCCCATATATAAAACAAAGACGTAGTTCTACGTCAAAATACTTCAATTTCTTCAGTTATATTTTACTCTTGAGTTTCATCAGCCTTCGGATTATTGCTTTTAGCATAGTTCAAAAGTAACCAACAAGCCCGCCAATTCGCTTTTTTTGCAATATATTTTTGCTGATACACGACTAACATAGGGCAAAGGGCAAAGCTTTATGTTAGTCGCATATTAGCCTATTAGGCGAATAAGTGGGCTTGTTGGTTACTTGGGTTGTGCAATCAAGGCTTGCCATGGGCCGTATGAATACAAAATGTTCACTTTCCCGTGTTTCTTTTACGGAGTAAATAAGTGAACGGTTTAAGAGTTTGAAATTGAAAATCAATCATTTTAAATAATATATCACATATTTAACATAAATGCATTTAAGGCCTTCGAACGACACACAAAGAACACCCATAGAAGTAACTATAACAATTTTTGGCTCAGTTCTGGTGCTCTCTTGGTTTCCAAGCTAATCGATGCACCCTTCGAAACATAGGAAAATCCACGAACCCCTTATTTTATCTGTCAAACTTTCATAGCGAATCAAAACAAACATAGTGTAGTACTAGAATTTTAACTAGAATGGGGTATGTAAATCGATTTGCTTGGGACCGATAGGCTAGTCTAGTGTGAGCTCAGTCTTAGAGTTACCTCTATGGTAATACCAAAGAGGTAACTCTAAGACCAGAAGGTCCCGGAGAAACGTACTCAACCTTTTGGCTCAGCTCTGGAACATTTTTGTATTTTATTTTTCCCATAAATAATTAAAAATTTACACCGTGTATATTTTCCCTGATAAACAATTATTGTTTCCTACACATTTGTATCAAACGTCATTTAGATTGGAAGTGACGCCTTCGAGTTTTGATTTGTTGAAAAATATCGAATATGCCATTATGAAGTA